TTAACCATAAAATGACTGGAAAAACCAGCTCCTTTATGTAATCTCAGAACAGGCCAAGTACTCTCTTCTGTGCAATACAGGACAGAAACACTATACTGTCCATGCTCACCATTTTTCTTATGTATGGAAAGTATTAGCAGCTATAAGGCTTGCCAGTTACTAGACATAGAGAGAAAGACTGACAAGTCCATCACACAATAAATAGACTGTAAGCTGGTCCTGCAGTGTTACTGTATTTGGAAATGTAATTAGTACAGTTAGCAATGTAACCAAAAAAATGCATCCACCAGCTGATGTGGGACATAGCACCTTTAAACTGCTGAATTTAGTTCACAAAACTCTACAAATTCCCATTTAATTTTGTTTCAAACTGTAAAAGTAACATGAATGTAGTGATGCAAGGTTTTCACAAGTTTTCTGCAGGACTGTAGACAAACTGCATGCCTGTATTATTAGGAGGTTATGATCACCAACAGTACAGGCCACTTAAATACTTAGCTGTTCTATCAGCTTATCAGAATGGTAGAGCCAAAGAACTCAAACATGCACGATACAGCACGTTTCCAGAACAGAAGCTCCAGCCCTTACTAGTATGGGATATTCTCTATCCATCTGTAGCATTTTCCAGTAATACCAGAACAGCTGTTATATTTATTTTTTGAGCAAAGGCCTCATTACCAGGACAGCAGTAGCACTGATCACAGATTTATGTCAGGACTGTGTTTGCATTTTAGTCCATGCATATCCCAGTCTCCTCCGATAAAACACATAGGCACACAACCATGCATGCATGCACAATTTTCTGGACACACTCCAAGCAATGTAAACATTTACATGTGACACATACATTTAGATACATCAACATCTAAACCATGTGTTTAGGCAATCGTTACACTCAGTGCATTAGATTGGTAAAATCAAAAGAAAAGGTCCCCAAATGCTCTAGTACTCCTAAAGGACATGACTGATTAAAAAAAAAAATTGAGAGGAATGTAATGATACCAAAAACATAGTACAATACTGCCACAACAACAAGTTCACAATGTATACATCACAATACTATGAAAAAGAAAAATGATTTGTTTAAATGCCTTTTTCTAAATAAATCTGCATTTTTTGTATGATTTTCCTTTTAACATAAAGTGATCCTGCTTTCCTTCTTTATTAAAATAAAAGTAGCCTGCCATGACCCAAGCATGTGCAAAAAACTGGCACTGAATGACTGAACTGTCTCTACAACTGCTAAACAAACAATGCAGCAGTCAGTAGCAGTCCTTTTATGAAATAAATACTGTCCACTTTAATAGTCACACTTCAATACAACACTACATTATTAGGTGTTCCCAATATTCTGACCATCTCATGCATGTAGCTGGGCAGGACAAATACAGAAACACCTCTGAATATAAAGTCCGGAACACCACCACCTTTAACAATGATCTCAACAATAAACATATAATCGAATTTATACATTTATGGACAATTTCACCAAAAACAAAGACTCTGAGCTTCATAAACACATATAGTATGTTAAGGTGACGTACTGCATTTAATTGCATACAGTTGTACCTAATAAAATGGTCAGTGAGTGCAGATTAGTGTAGCAGCTAAATGTTTATATTAATAAAAAAGAAACAGTACTATTTCAGTGGACGATCAGCTTTATATACTGCTCAAAAACATAAAAGGGAACACAACATAAGACATCCTAGATCTGAATGAATGAAATATTCTTATTTAATACCTTGTTCATTACATAGTTGAATGTCTTATTTTCCCTTGTGTTCCCTTTATTTTTTTGAGCAGTGTAGTACTCATTAGGCAGGTTTGCTGTTCTCATTACTGGACCACCTGAAGCAGGTATTCCCCTGACCACTGGGAGCAGTAGTGAGCAAATTGTCGCTTGGCACACCAAAATGAGGAGAAGACAATGCTAAAATACACTAGGACAAGCCACATCAAGGTGAGATTTGTGCTTTACTGGATGTGATTTTCAATCATGATTTACTTTTCAAGAGCAAAGACTAGAGGTGGTTACTAAGTGGTTAGTGTTGCATTTAAGCGTCAGGTTTGATCCGTAGCGCACAGTGGGGTCCCAACTGCTTCTGCAAGATATATCCATAAGTGTGTCAGTTCTAAACAGGGCTAGTAATGCCTTCATCCAGCAGTATTTGCAAATTGAATGTCAGTTTAATTTCCACTTGTGTCATTTCTTGAAACAGGAAAACTGAAATGCTGCCACACAGCAGCTCTAAAAGTCAACAATGGAGCATCTGCTATGTCAGTTTCAATTTCTTCAACTTGAACACAATTATAGCAAAATAAAATATGTTAATACTATCACAGTCCCGCGATACTGTTACACCCCTATTGGTGGATAATCTTGATTATAATTGTTATCCCAAAAATTAGAAGCCCAAATCTAGACTCAAAGCGAGTCATGACAGTCGTAAATCTTTTTATATAAAACAAAGCACAGTTCTAACAGTGCAAATAGGTTCAAAGCAGGTTTCCCCTAAAACTGAGAAATGTGGTTCTGACAGACAGTGGCCACTGGTCCCCCACAAGCAGCAGTAAACAATCACTCTCAGAACACCCCAAGGTGGAAGCACTTGGTCTCTGTCTGGCTACCAGTCCATAGCATGTGAATTAACATTACTATTTTCCACCACAGGGAGACTACAGAAGATAAATTCATTCAGCATGTGAAAGCCTAGGGCCATATGACTGGATAAAAACTGGTGACTGCTTTTTTGTGTTAGCCATGTTTTGTTTTGAAAGAGAGGAGAGCAGACGCAAAACAGTGGTTTATCCACGTAGATGCTGACGAAGACGCAAGACTGTTCATTGCCCTGAGATGTCTCACAGCAGATACAGGTCCCCGTGTCATACTATAGACATCTGCACACATTCCCACTCATCTAGCAGCCATCCATACACATCTGTTTTCGTTAGTCACTGTCTTCTAAGACAGAAGCATTCAAGTGCAACCAACTTTAAATTTGGGGAACTATACTTGTGGCTTAAAAAATAAGGATGGAGGCCAGAAAAGGGGTGCCCCATTTATCAGTTTTTGCCTCCAATCCACAATCTAAGTCTTCCAATATTGACTTTCTTCCAGTAGCAATTTCGATTTATTTACAGTGCCTTGCGAAAGTATTCGGCCCCCTTGAACTTTGCGACCTTTTGCCACATTTCAGGCTTCAAACATAAAGATATAAAACTGTAATTTTTTTGTGAAGAATCAACAACAAGTGGGACACAATCATGAAGTGGAATGAAATTTATTGGATATTTCAAACTTTTTTAACAAATAAAAAACTGAAAAATTGGGCGTGCAAAATTATTCAGCCCCCTTAAGTTAATACTTTGTAGCGCCACCTTTTGCTGCGATTACAGCTGTAAGTCGCTTGGGGTATGTCTATCAGTTTTGCACATCGAGAGACTGAAATTTTTGCCCATTCCTCCTTGCAAAACAGCTTGAGCTCAGTGAGGTTGGATGGAGAGCGTTTGTGAACAGCAGTTTTCAGTTCTTTCCACAGATTCTTGATTGGATTCAGGTCTGGACTTTGACTTGGCCATTCTAACACCTGGATATGTTTATTTGTGAACCATTCCATTGTAGATTTTGCTTTATGTTTTGGATCATTGTCTTGTTGGAAGACAAATCTCCGTCCCAGTCTCAGGTCTTTTGCAGACTCCATCAGGTTTCCTTCCAGAATGGTCCTGTATTTGGCTCCATCCATCTTCCCATCAATTTTAACCATCTTCCCTGTCCCTGCTGAAGAAAAGCAGGCCCAAACCATGATGCTGCCACCACCATGTTTGACAGTGGGGATGGTGTGTTCAGGGTGATGAGCTGTGTTGCTTTTACGCCAAACATAACGTTTTGCATTGTTGCCAAAAAGTTCGATTTTGGTTTCATCTGACCAGAGCACCTTCTTCCACATGTTTGGTGTGTCTCCCAGGTGGCTTGTGGCAAACTTTAAATGACACTTTTTATGGATATCTTTAAGAAATGGCTTTCTTCTTGCCACTCTTCCATAAAGGCCAGATTTGTGCAGTATACGACTGATTGTTGTCCTATGGACAGAGTCTCCCACCTCCGCTGTAGATCTCTGCAGTTCATCCAGAGTGATCATGGGCCTCTTGGCTGCATCTCTGATCAGTCTTCTCCTTGTATGAGCTGAAAGTTTAGAGGGACGGCCAGGTCTTGGTAGATTTGCAGTGGTCTGATACTCCTTCCATTTCAATATTATTGCTTGCACAGTGCTCCTTGGGATGTTTTAAGCTTGGGAAATCTTTTTGTATCCAAATCCGGCTTTAAACTTCTCCACAACAGTATCTCGGAGCTGCCTGGTGTGTTCCTTGTTCTTCATGATGCTCTCTGTGCTTTAAACGGACCTCTGAGACTATCACAGTGCAGGTGCATTTATACGGAGACTTGATTCCACACAGGTGGATTCTATTTATCATCATTAGTCATTTAGGTCAACATTGGATCATTCAGAGATCCTCACTGAACTTCTGGAGAGAGTTTGCTGCACTGAAAGTAAAGGGGCTGAATAATTTTGCACGCCCAATTTTTCAGTTTTTTATTTGTTAAAAAAGTTTGAAATATCCAATAAATTTCGTTCCACTTCATGATTGTGTCCCACTTGTTGTTGATTCTTCACAAAAAATTACAGTTTTATATCTTTGTTTGAAGCCTGAAATGTGGCAAAAGGTCGCAAAGTTCAAGGGGGCCGAATACTTTCGCAAGGCACTGTATATTCATTTATTCTTTTTTGCTAGATAATAAGGCTGCATGGTACATACGTAGCCTACAATATTCTTACACAAATACTTTTGGTAGATAAATTGTTTTACATTAATGTAAAATTATATAAAGACTTAGATTTCCTATAATGGTTTCCTTTGGTATTTTTGTATCATCTTACATTTAGGTGAGTACAGAAAAGTGTCAGTGAGGACGAAGCTCGGAAAAGCTAGTGACAGATTCTCATCAATTAAAATGAATTTGTTTTTCCCCTCACCATGACTCGTTAAATGAAGCTGTTGGCAGCTTGTCTAGTGTATGTGCTCTGTGGTTTCCTCACTTCTCACTCACAACAGAGACAGTGTTTTAAGAGTGCATGTTTTGGCCAACTGATATAACTGGAGTAAATAAAGAGTCTGAAACAGACTGGGTTTTATAGAGCTGATGGCAGGTCCATTAAAGTCCCTATCAGCTATATATGCATTTCATCTATATACAGTATAAGTACTATTACAAGGGCATGCAGACCAAACCAGAGACATTTTTAGGCAGAAATGGAAATACAACTGAGTACTGATCAATTCTGACTGGGCAGCAAAGTTGCAAATGTTCTGGGCTCCAAGTTGGTTTGGTGCTGTATTTTTTACAGCTTGATAAGCACAAACTGATAAGAGGAAGAACTACAACATGGAACCAGTATATCAACTTTGGTGGCATTTTCCTAAAAACACAAAAGCAAGACTTATTTTAACAATATAAAGATGATTAATAACTTAAGACCTATCAAAGCCTTATTTAAGACATTAAGACCTTAAGTCTACAGTTCTAGTTACTGGATTTAGACTTTTTAAAAGACACACAGACACCTTGCTTTAAACAACTAAAAAGTATGACATTATCTTGATCCATACCAGCAGATTATAACAAGTCTAAAATAAAAGATGTCCACAACATTACCTGCGTGTTGCCATGAAATGCTATGCTGTCCCCTCAGTTTAAAAGAAATATCCTTTACCTAAAGACTGACAGATTTGTTTTGTATCTTATTCTTAGGAAAATATCCTCTGTCTGAGTCACAGCAGGTTAGGTTTACTTCATCTACCGTTTAACCTCTACCTTTTAATTAGTGAGGCTGGGATTACAGCACTCATCTGCTTCCTCAGTGTTATTGAGGTGATGCAACCTCTGATCCGAGAGTTGTCTATACACCCTGTAATGGGTTGAAACAAGGTTCACTGCTGGAACAATATGAGGTATGCACACAGATTAACACAAATACACTAAAACTTGCACACAGATACACACCTGGGAGTTCTGTGGTAGGTAGGCTGAGGTGTAAGGCACCCTGCTTTAACAGCTGGTGAGTGATGTTATCTCATAACGCCAGGCCTGGAAAAGGATCCTCCCCAGATACAACCAGCCAGGAGTGTAGGTTCCTATATTGCTGCATATAGGCTTTTTTCCCTCTAAAAGTCACAACTTTTCTTTATATTTTCATCTTGCCTTTCCTTTTTCTTTATCAATTTCACTTTTGAATCTGCTATCTTTACATGCCTCTAGAACTTTTCACTAGTTCTGTTAAAATAACATTTTCTTAAAGTGCCGTCTGAGAGGTTGTTACATACTTTTTATGAATTGTTTGCTGAGCATTTCAATGAGATTACTAAAGTGTATCCTTTTACACTTCAAATTAAATAAATTCAAGTTATCTATGCCAGCATAAAGTAAACAAAGAAAAAGTTTACTAGCTAATAAAAGTTTCTGTATGTTTATTTTCTAAAAAAGAGAAATTGACTGAAAAAAGGTGCTAAACATTTTTAAAGGCCATTATCCAGCCCCAATCATGCACAAACCTTCTTTGAGAGGTGCTATCAAGTTCTGGTGTAAGACAGGCATGGAATCCAAGTCAAGTGGCCTTGCTGATAAGAGGCATCACTGTGTGATTTATTACAGACACATCCCCCAGACTCTCTTTGGCTGATTTAAACTAGTGAAAAAGTCAGTACTACACAGCTCACAAAAAGCATCTGGTACACAGGTACCACTTACATTTGAAAGTGACAGTGACCTCCACAGACACTGACCTATTAACAAGCCAGTAGACTGATCCAATCATTTTGTCCATTAAGCATTCACAGAGGCTAGAAAGCAAGATTTTGTAGTAGTGTAAATAGCCCCTAATCTTGGTGTCAGTCTATGGCTCTGTCCTCCTCCAGGGAGGCTGAGCCAGCCCTGGTGGTCATTCTCTGTGCAGGGAGGTAAAATAGCCTCACTGGCTCCAGGGCCATCACTCACCTGGGGGCAGGTCTGGGTCATTGGGGGCAGTCTGCTGGAGGCGACGAGGCTTGGAAACAGCCTTGGTGCTGTCTGAGGCACTGCGACTGGTGGAGCTAGAGCCGCTCTCATAGTCATCCTGATGAAAAAACAAACAAGAACACCCATGAGGATAGTAAGTAAACAGACCTCTTCACAACTGGTGCACTGCATTTTCTTCAGACAATTACCATGGTGTTGCCACATTACAATATTAGTTTGAGTATAGTGCACAGTAGTAGCATAGGAACAGAACAAAATTTACGCATGTGTCTGCAAGCTAATTTTTGTATAATTATATTGCAATACATGATTGGTTAAAATGTTGCACTGAAGAAAACATCCTTACATTCAGCATATATTTTATTTCCCTTATTTTATTGCAGGAAAATCTGAAAATTGAGTCTCTGACTTGGTCTTCTGATGAGTTAAAATAATGCCTAGCACCAAGGGCTCCATGTTGCAAGCCAGTAACACCAAGACTTATGTGTTGCTTGTCAGCAGCTCGTACTGCTGCACGTGATCAAGAAGGTAACGTGTTTTACAATGCAGTGGAAACACAACCGCACTGAATCTGAACGCACTGAACACCTCGGCTCAGCAGGGCATACCCGTCTGATGGAAAAACACCATTAGTCTTGTTTCCTTTGTGTGCACATGAACAACAGAGGAGCCATTTCAATAAACAATGTGCAAGTTTTTTTAGGGTCAAACTAGCAAGCCAAAAATCTGTTTTTCTGTGTGACTGTATGCACAATAAGCAGAGGCATGATTAGAGAGGTATCTGTGCTATAACACTGCTTGAGCCCCCCTTCACACCAAACATTCCCACCAGCCTTCCTACGATCCCATTTAGCAATCGTCTTAGTGAGCTCTTCAAATAAACTCCTTGAAGGTGAAGGTCTCTCCTCCACAAAGGCACGTCATTTGGTCTCAGAGACCAAGTACAGGATCATGTGTGTGTGTGTAGGAATGACGAAATGAACATCCCCTTCAGAGATGAGCCTGAAGATAAACAAAATGAACCAAGATACAGGATGAGGTTATTCGCAGGTTCAGCTCTTTCTACTGGTTCAGTAGAATGCCTCAGCCTAAGGCATGCTCTGTGACATGAGGGCAATTAAAACAACAGGGACAACAAGAAAAACAGTCAAAAGATCAGGAGGCTGATACTAAAGGACTGACTGCCAAGAATTGTTACTAGATGTACTGTTAGAGTAAATACAATGTTAACTTAATTGTAGCAAATGCACAAGAAAGTTTCCATGCTGATAATATTTCAGTAATTTCAGCAGTAAACACTAAGGTTTATGGCAGAAAACCATGACTCATATCTGATATCATCAAGTGACAAAATGGAGAAGATCCAATGACTAGAGACTGACTTTGTAGAGCTGTACAATTTCTGTTAGCAGACTGTCATCTTTTCTAGAGGGCCTTGGTCATGGGTAGGGTTGCATCGGTATGAGACTTTTACAGTATAGCGGTCTCAGAAAATAAAGGTATTACACAGTTACTATTGTCAGCTACAACAACCCTCAGAATGAAATGCATATAACATGTTACATAACTAAAGCATGTTAGTACCAGTGGTAGAGGAAGTATTCACATCCTTTAAGTACTAATAGCATACTGTAAAATTAGCCTGCTATGTTACAAGTCAGTCCTGCATTAAAGTAAATATTAACACAATGTACTAAATGTAATCAAAGTAGAAGTATGCTACTTAATGCAGAAAGTGTTGTCTATGCTATGCCATTATATCACTACATTAACAGCATATCACGCATGTAATGATGTAAAAGCAAGATTTGACTGTCACACTATTTTGCATCCAAGTGCAAGGTCAGTGTGAGGTCCCAGAGATGATAAGAGCCTGGCCGGAGATGTGTGGCTCTCCATGGGTGAAGCAGAGTGCAGCATGGCCTGATTGGGACATAAAAAAATTAATGACCTGTGGTCCTGGTACTCAATATTGGGACTTAGAAAAATTTCTGTTCCCACACAGTGTAATACCAGAGGCATTTAATTTGTTTAGACCAAGGTGGGGTCTTAAGCGTGTGTACACAGGTTCAACCGGTGCGCCCGTGCCTGGAGCTCTGGTTCACCAGGGGAGCTAGCCAGTTCCTTTCCCCCCACTATGGAGCTCCATTCCCGGGGTACTCCCAGGTGATAACAAGGTACACAGGTTCAACCGGTACGCCTGGTGCCTGGAGCTCTGGTTCACCAGGGGAGCTAGCCGGTTCCTTTCCCCCACTACGGAACTCCATTCCCGGGGTACTCCCTGGTGATAATGGGGTACACACGTTCAACCGGTGCACCAGGTGCCTGGAGCTCTGGTTCACCAGGGGAGCTAGCCGGTTCCTTTCCCCCACTGTGGAGCTCCATTCCCGCGGTACTCCCTGGTGATAACAAAGCATAGAGTCCCTGGGGCTTTGGTTCAGACTATTTGTATGTAAATATAATGTATAGTCCACGTAGGTTCAGGGGCCCGTTTCAAGAAGGAGGTTTTGTTGAAACTCTGCGTTTGTTAACCCCGAAATGAGGAAAACTCTGAGTTTTCGGTTCCAGAAACGGAGGTAACTTAAACCCGTGAAAGCGGGTTAAGTTAAACCCGTTTCAAAAAGAGAGGTAATCTAAACTCAGAGTCAGTTACTATGGCAACTTACTCTGTGAACCTAACCTGGTTGGGAGCAGGTTTTGTTCGGGAAACCCAGAGTTTCCTCCGGTCTCCGTCCCTTTTTAAAGTGAAAGGTGTTTAAATAGGCCTACCTCATTTAATCTTTCAGTACATTCATAGATTGCAC